TGTAGCACTTTTAGTGGTGGAGATGGAGATTTGGCGTTTAGACAATCTATCAACAGCTACCCAAATGTTATTAAACCCTCGTTTGTCTGGTACCCCCACATCGTGGAAATCCATCGATATATCATTCCATGTACGTTCTGGGATGGCAAAAGGCTGTAGTAAGCCCGGTGTCTTGTCTCTAGGCTTGTGTGATCGTCGGCAGACATGGCAGTTCTGCACATAACGCTTGATGTCTGCTGCGTATCGTGGCCACCAGTACCGGTCGCCAATTAGTTTCCTCATTTTATTTCGTCCTGGATGAGCGGTGGATGTAGATTCATGGATCATCTTCAACACTTAAGTACGGAGATTGTCTTTGGATGACACCACCACGCGTCCCTTATGAAGCACCAGCCCGGTAGGTTCCAAAGAATAAGGTTCTTTCCGCTGGCGTAGATCCTCGAGATCGGGATCTGCCCGGTTGGCCATAAACATACGATCAATAGTATCTAGATCCTCGTCGATGGGCGCTAACACCTTGCTGTCATGCGGCAACGTAACTTTCTTTTGAGGGGGGAGGATTTTCGTACGTTCCAGCTCTTTTGCGACTTTTTGTGTAGGGGTAAGTTCTTTCTTGCGAGATAACGCGTCCGCTAGAATATTTTCCTTGCCTGTTCGGCACTGAAGGTCGAAACTGAATTGCGATAGCACCTCTGACCATCGGATTTGCCAATCGTTGAGTAGCTGCTTCTAACCAAAGTATTCCAGAACTCGGTGATCAGTCAGAATCACGAACGGCTCCCAGGTGCTGGTGAGCTCTGCGCGCCATTCTTTCAAGCATTGGATGATAGCCAACAGCTCCTTATCATGGATCTCATAGTTTGCCTCCGGACCAGTCAAGGTTCGGGAGTGTTAAGCCACAGGATGCCACACGCCGTCCTCCTGTAATTGACTGAGTACTCCTGCTGTTGCTAGATCAGAACAATCGGTCTCTACACGTGTAGGCTTTTTCTGATCGAAGTACAGTAAGATGGGTGGGCTAACCAATTTCTCTTTCAGGGCAAGGAACGCTTCTTCAGCTTGCTCGATCCATGGGAACAAACGGCCTTTTGGGATTGCCGTCAGGTTGTACAGTGGCTTAGCAATCCGGGAGAATTTTTTTAATAAAGTTACGGCAATAGTTGCAGAACCCCAAGAAGGATTGAATGGCCGTCTTGCTAGTAGGTCTCTCTCATGCGCAAATACTTTCCAGCTTCTCCGAGTCTGGCAGGAGTCCGGAAGTGTTAACGATGAAGCCCAGAAAATTAACAGATTTTTGATTAAAGCGGCACTTCTTAATATCCACCTGCAGTCCAGTTCTGTCCAAACGCTGAAGGACCTCGCGTACTTCTGCCACGTGTTTACTTTTATCTTCAGAGTGGACGCATAAATCATCCATATATGCGGGAACGTAACGTGCAAGCAGATCGCCTAGGACTGAATTGATATATCTTTGGAAAGTGACCTAGCCACCTGACAGACCAAAAGGTAACACGTGGTAACGGTGTTGACCGAATCGAGTACGAAAAGTAGTCCATCCCACGGAGTCTGGATGCATCCGGATATGGTTGAACGCATGGATGACATCTAGAATGGTAAATTTCTTAGAACCAGCCATCTTGGCTAATGTCTCACCTATGAGGGGCAGAGGATAGCGATCTTTCCGCGTGTGTGCGTTTAATTTCCGGTAGTCTACACAAAATCGAAGGTCTCCATTCTTTTTCTTGACAAACAAGACCGGAGAATTGAATGGAGAATCGCTGGGCTCGATGAACCCTTTCGCCAAGTTCTCCTCGATATAAGCGTGTACGGTATCTAGCTCTTTCTGATTCATTTTATAGAGGGGAGCTTGCTTGAGCTCAGGCTCGCTATCCAGATTGATCTTATGGTCGAACTCCCTATGCGGCGGCAATTCATTTGCGCGTCTTTTGGAGAAGACATGGGCAAGGTCATGATATTCAGGAGGTAATTGGGCCAACAATTGTGTCCTCTCTTCTTCTTCAGTGAGCTCCGCGTTATGCGCAATCTCTGTACTGTCGCAGGCGGTTTACATTTCTACGAACCAGCATTGGTCTTCCCCTTCAATTGTCTCAACCTCGACGGCTGAAAGCGTAGGTGTGTCCATTTCGTCTAGACCCAGATCCTCATTTTTCTTATTGTTGGCTTCTTGTCGCTCTTACAGTGTAGGCCGGGGAGTCAGAATGATTGAAGGGGTCGCCGGCGCTTCTGCTACCATTGCAGGGCGTTTCAATATCTGCTTTGGCATAAAATGTGGAGATTTTTTAGCAGGAGGTTTGTTGATTTCTAGAGGGGGCAGTTCAATCATTCGGTCACGACGGTTAGCGTCCTACTGATAATCATTGCGGTCTTCTTGCCACCATAGCCGGTGTCGCACGCAGTCTGGGAGAATGTCATGATAGGCCAGCCACTGCCGACCGAGGATCACATTGTTCTTGTTACCAAGTGTGGTAGCAAAGAACGGCATGTTGACTCGCTGCGAGTCTATAGTCAGTGTCATCACGTAGGCATGGCGTAGAGGTCGGGATGATCATCCACCGAAGCCTCCTTAGTTTTCCCTTTATTCCTCTATAGTAGCTTCCCCTTGATCTTTCAATTATTTACGCAATCTAAGAACCATTTTAGACTTGATATCCCCCCGGCCTTGCCCCGTTGCTTCCGTACCACTAACCGTGAAGGCTGAAAATGGGTCGAAGAGCTCTAGATCGAGGCACCAATGCCTCAGCCATTGTCAAATACTCTAGTTGATATGCCAGCGAAACATCGTACATATTTTGTCAGTGACGCTTCGCCGCAGGTCGAGTAGTTGGTGCCCTCTGCCGAGGTTGGACGAATATGAGGCCGGTACTTTGACCATACCTTAACAGCGCACGACAGTTGCTGTGAGATGGATTTACAGTTACATTTTAGATGGCGAATATGACGTTTGTATTTTAGAATGCTTTGGTAGGTGGTGAGATGATTGTGGAGAGAATCGCCAGATAAGTTTGGATGGAAAGATCTTCCAGTAAATTTTGAGAAATTGAAGATTGTCAGTTGTCTTAAAACAAATATCGGAAAAGCTTTATCCTGTCTGCGGCTCGTGTTTGGGGTGTAAATATTTGTATTCGCTGGGTTGGGCGGTTGTGAAATCTTAGCAGGCCGGATTTTCGACCAAAACTTTGCTAAAGACACTCCTCTCGATTGGCATCTCGATGTAAACTGTCAAATTCGGCCCCTGTTCTCCCGGGGAATGTTGGTATAAAAGGGATAGGTAAATCTTGTCTATTTTCCAAGGGTAACCGAGTGTTACGAAAGGTAGAGCATAGACCGGGGAGGTTGAGTCCTGTCGAAGGATAATATTTGAGGAAGAGAATTGGTTTGAAGAAGTAAAAAGATCGTAGTGAGTTTAATTTCACAAAACTAACATCTGCTTATGTTTTCAGCCTCAAGGGGAGGACTATTCTCAACACCTGTCAGTGATGTCCCCTACGAACCTCCACCTTCCACTGTAAAGTCTGCAGAGCCGAGATTGACTAACACCTTTTCAACTTTGAGCTGAGTTATCTCCCCCTCCGTCAAAGATACACTTCTGATAACACATAAGACGATGATAATGTTGCTGGAAATGAGGAAAGATATTTCGGTACCAAAAGCTGTAACGACGTTCAGAGAAGTCCTCGTTCTATCACAACATGTGCTACCCACCGGCGGGCGAACATAAATCCCACGAAAGCAAAGTATAAGACCCTTCCACCCTCAAGAAAAGCAGATTTTGACTCATCAATAATATAGTCCCTTCTAAACTTTGCTTCCGAAGTTACTAGCCAGGAGGGCGTCTGAAATACATGAGTTACTCGACGACCCCACATCCGTCACAACTTTTGGATGCTTGGCTAGGCTCCTTGGCGGCAGTCACTCTCGACCAAGACTTTTCTAACATCCTTTCAGGACCTTTGGTTTGTCCTGCAGCATGAATTAGGGGAGGAGCAAGGAGGAAGCTAGGAAAGTTGAGAGACGCTCTTAGGTATACACAGGTCTGCTGCGCCCGGCTGGACGGCCTCTTCGTCATAGGAGAGCCCTGCACCCAGTGGTTTTTGAGGCTTTTCCCTGCAGCTACTGTCGGAACACTACCTGTGGTCAATTCATAAGCTTGTGAGGGGTTATTTATATCATTCAGTACTACTTTCCAAATGTCTTCTGAGAAAGAAACTCCCTAAATACATTGTCTTTCCCGAAACGCTATTCCCTATGAGGAAAGGTCTCAACTTGACCCTTGTACATAACATTATGAGCCATTTCACACAGCTACACACCCGCAAATGGCTATCGTTTCATTGACTAGAGAGTGTGAATAATGAAGGGGTATTGGCCCCTCTTCATGTGTACTCAAATGAATACCTGTGGGAGTATTACTGCTGGAAAGAAGTCGTGAAGGAGGCATGGTCGGGAATACACAACCCAAGGGATAAATACTTACAATCAGCGTTGAAAAGAAGGGCCTACATATCTTCATACATTCTTTAGACTCAATAGGACAATAAATATAAATTATCTGCCTTAGGTTGGACATGTAATAGGACTCTGGCTTGATCAATTGAAAAAAATCATGTTTAGGATAAATAAAATTTATGTTCGGCCTTCCTAGTAGCGCCAAGCTAGCCTGTCTCAGCAGGCGCACATGCTCGAGAACCTGGTTTCCTAAGATGGGCGTGCGTATCCCCGTAACAAATAATTCGCTAAAACGTTAACGCCCAGGACTTGGACTTACCTTACTGCTACTTTTTCAGACTGAATCAGCTACTAATCTTCGTTAGTAAGGAAAACATTGCCGCTTCCGACATAACATCAGCGCAGTGTTATGTACTAAGCCAGACGTAGAATTACGATCTAGGGACCAAATCAAAAAGCTTCTATTTAATCAATAATTGAACTATTATGAAAATTCTATTGGATACTGCTTTGATAGCCTAAAGTCTTCGCTGATGGCGGACAAACTAAAGATAGCTAAGGTCGGAACTAGAATCAATCTTAATTTCATTTGAGTATTTACTTACATAATCATATTAGGTCGAAAATGTAAAGGTATTGGGAGGTGGAGAGGTTTCAACAGTAACGCTTCACTTAACAGCGCATCATCTTATTTTATTGCAGCACTTTACAAATGAGCTTCCCTCAAAAGAAGTCAAAACCCAGACGAGAGAGTCATGGTTCGCGTATCCAATGATTGCAAATTGTACTTTCCGCCCAACATCACCTGGCTCTGCCCTTGAGTCATCAATACGTCTTCGCGGGCGAGACTTTAGATTTTTCACACTCAACTTTTCTGACGAAAAGCTAGCTTGGGACGTTTATGAAAGCCTAAAAGGAGCAACTTGCAGACTAGGTAGCATTGAAAAGCTCTATGCATTTCATTATGAAGCACCACCTCCTGAAAGGCAGGTAAATGGTTGGAGCCTGTATAATGCAAAAGAAGAATGGAGGCGTCAGGGAATCAGTAGCAAAAGTAAAGACAAAGGCTGGAGAATTTCTCGAATCAATGCAGATTATACTTTCGCACCAACTTATCCTGCTCTCCTGCCTGTTCCGTCTAGTATCTCCGATAATACTCTCAACTATGCCGGAAGGTATCGTTCACGGTCACGTATACCAGTTTTGACCTACCTTCATCCGGTAAATAACTGCTCAATCATCAGAAGCTCCCAGCCATTAACTGGGCTCCGAGGAAATCGAAGTGTTCAAGATGAGAAACTTGTGCATGCCTGCTTTTCAGCTCCAGGCACAGAATGTGAAGGAAACTCCACCTCTGCTTATTTGTGTTCTACCCGTAACCTGGACCGAGATAGTTCCTCGTCTAACAACTCGAGTGATAGTAGTACCCAGAGGCCAATACTAGACGATCTCAATTCCTCGTCAAGTTTAGAGGAGATAGCAACCAAAGATCAAATTTATGGAGCTCAGCGACAAAACCTTATAGTAGACGCTCGTCCTACAGTAAACGCTTTGGCGATGCAGGCAGTTGGATTAGGCTCTGAGAATATGGATCACTATAAATTCGCATCAAAAATCTACCTGGGTATTGATAATATACATGTTATGCGAGACTCTCTGGGAAAAGTTATTGAAGCGATAAAAGATTCCGATATTTCCAAAATTTCCCCAAATAAAGAGAAGCTTGCAAAAAGTGGCTGGCTTAAACACATTACCGGATTACTTGAGGGTTCCGCTTTGATTGCTCGACAAGTAGGAATCCGCCATTCAAACGTTTTGATTCATTGTTCTGATGGATGGGATAGAACTAGCCAATTGAGTGCTCTTGCACAGCTTCTTCTGGACCCTTATTACCGGACCATTGACGGCTTTATTGTTTTAATCGAGAAAGATTGGTTGGCTTTCGGGCACATGTTTCAGCACCGCTCTGGATTCTTAAACAGCGAAAAATGGTTTTCAGTCCAAAGCGACGCTCTTGCTGGCTCAGCAATCCAGCCTGGGAGTAACAACGAAGGACGAGGTGATGCAATCGAGAATGCATTCCTCAGCGCTAAGAGGTTTTTTAACAAAAGTAACCAAAGTCAGGAGGGCATTAATGACTTCGAAGCAGAGATTTTAGGACAAGAAGAAACAGTCAGTAAAAGTTCTATTAAAGATGATATCACAACGAGAGAAGCGACCAAACCAAAGGAGACCAGTCCCGTATTTCACCAATTTTTAGATGCGACATACCAGCTTCTTCATCAGTACCCTACAAGATTTGAGTTCAACGAAAGGTTCCTTCGGAGGCTTCTTTATCACCTTTACTCATGTCAGTATGGGACTTTCCTATATAATAGCGAAAAGTCCCGGCGCGAAGCACGAGTTCAAGATCGAACAGCTAGTGTGTGGGGTTATTTTCTATCACGGCGAGCCGAATTCACAAACAAAGACTACAGTGGTGGCGAAATTGATGATCACGTGTGCGGAAAAGAACGAATTCTTCTACCTCACCCAGATAGGATCAGATGGTGGAATGAAATCTTCAATCGAACCGATAAGGAAATGAATGGGCCCGGACATGAAGATTGTCGGGATCAAAAAGCTTCTATCCGGACCTTGTCATATACAGATGATCTTTCGCATACGAACCCTACAATTACAGTTGCTCGTCAGCATTCAGTATCTGGTAAAATGAGCTCTTTGACTGGTCTTCGCGATGGGATAGCTGGCCTAGCCTTAGGCATTGGAAAGAGTTCTTTGGGCCAGAAAAGTCCAAGCAGGAAGCAGCCAATAGAACTCGAGATGCAATGAAGAAATGGGACAAGGACATATTTTTCTAAAATCCTCTACCCTTGTCGTAGAAAGTATTACAGAAGCAACAGTACCAGATGGCTCTAAGATTTACCGTGACCCAGCAGCTTTTCGCCTCCTTATTAGCTGAGACCGTCAGATCTAGCATTGATCACGGATTTGTGCTTAAAGTCTGATGGGACATGTTAAATGCCAAGTATTGAGAGCATACTTCATAAGAAGACTTCTAAGTTGATCTCCAACGTGCTAACTGGATATCTAGTATAGTTCAGCAACATTGATAATAATAGATATTCGGTGACATACCTCAAATCAAAGTTATCCAAGACAGTAGGGTGTAGAATACCGAATTCGCCAATACGAATTTTTCTTCCACTCAACCTTAGAAAAATAATAGCTGCATGTCCTGGGAAGAAGCTTGGCTCATTAGCCTCTTCAATCCAATAACCATCTGGCTTTAATGAACTAGGAATATTTTCTTTGGTTGCATCCAACCCTTCCAGGCCGCTCAAGTCATTAGCCAGAAAATTGGACTTCAGCATCAGTAGTATACGATCTAATAAACCATGGATGACTTCAAATCCGCTAGTTTTGCCATACCAAGCAGCTGAGAAGTGACGCTCATTTCGGCTTTTACGTTCAAGGCTTAAATCCTTGAAAGCTACATCTGAAACCTCAAAAATTTTAATTGGAAGACTGTGTTTTTTGTTCTCCCTAATAGTTTTTAAGAGTCCAGGAAGTAATGACGTACGCACAACTTGATATTCTGCTGTTTTCGGATTTGCAAGTGTAACTGCGGTATCGCCATGATCTTTTCGATTAAGCCATCCGAAATTTTCGTCGTGGGAACAAAGAATTAGCGGCATAACCTCGCTCCATCCAGCCATTGCAGCTTCCATGCGGACAATATCGCTAAGTTTATTTATCAACAATGGTTGTGCAATAGTTGAGGCCTTGTTAGGTGAGCTACGAGGAAGGTTATTGAATCCATAGGCGATAGCTACATCCTCCATAATGTCACATTGGTGTAAAACATCAGCACGAGTGGTTGGAATAGAGACCTCAATCAAGTCTTCACTTTTTGGTGAAGGTTTTGCAGTGTAACACATCTTCGTAAGAAGTTCGCAAACTCTCTCACGGGGCTCGTTCAATCCGCACAAGTTATTGATATAGCTGAGCTGCACATCGGTAATTCGTGGATTTAGATTTGGTGTTTGTCGGCTCTCTCCATTATGCTCTGATATTATCATGACGGGTTCAGCAGTGAATGGCCTCGCGCAGTACTGGGAAAACATGGTGATAATAATGTTATTCACAATTTCAAGCTTTGTACGGTCAGTTCCCGTGACCTCAATAAGGACATTCTTTGTCTCGAGTGTGATCTTTGAGTGATTTCCATTGATAATGGGAGGCATAGAACACACAGTTCGTTTAGAATCATATATTACGGGGTAAACAGGCTTGTCCTTAATGATATGGAGGTATTTCCCTAAATGTTTGTCATTCTCATAGAATGTCATGAGCTCTTCGGCATCCATCTCCTTCGTCTGATTCAATGGAGTGAATTTAATGTCTTTTGGTGGGTGCGCTTCATATGTGAACGGTCCTTCTAGCACATCCAAATCATGGGTACCGATGGCTACTAGAGTTCTCTGTCTGGCCAGATTTTGATGCAGCTTATCTTGAAGCGATATGAACGAGTCATAAGCCTCCTGAGTGAACTTGACATTCCGCAATATGGCACCTGAAACATATGGTCGGACCTTCATTGTATCTGGGTGTACCGTTATAGTTACCATCTCTTCGCACAAAGGTGTCACAATTTGATAATTTGGAAATTGAATTTTTCCCCGGAAGACATTTAGCATCAGTGCGATTCCCTCGAAACATAACATGTCGTAGCGGTTAGCAGGTATCTCAATTTTGAGCTGCGCGGGTTCTTCTTTTCCATTGATAGTTGGACGCTCCGAACATGAAGTATCTTCGTCAAGTTCTATCCCAAATTCGAAGCAAAGTTCCTCGAATTCCTCTGTTGTATATCTGTATGACTGGTCAAAGCTGTGAAATCTTTGCTTTGACTTTAGAAAGCTTACTTTTGCCCGAGGGCTTCGTAAAGCTGTGCTTTGTCTACACTGATCGTAGGCATATTGTGACTTTATGAGAGGTGGCCACAAAGATTACTTTCCAAATTACAGTTAATTCCAAGTTGGTCTGTATATATCGAAGCTTGTAAATACCGTGGTTTCTCGTGTATAAGACAATAAATACCCCGCAACTTCAGAGGTCAAATATATGAAGCCCAATTGATTCTCTAATCCAACCTTGCGATAAATTCCTATTACTGAGGGGTATTGTTTGTGCGTCAGGCGGTGGGTGCGATTAATTCCGTATAATAAATTAGTTCCTGAGGCACATACATGAAAGCCTTAGGGGGAAGATAAACCACGTACGTATCTGCGTAGCTATTCAGATGTTATATGTTACGGGTCCTCAGCATTTATTCTCCACAGATAACGTCTTTTCTATGCATGCCTCTTTGAATCAACCCCAGTTTTCTGATACGTGATGTTGAAGAAGTCGCACTACTCCGCCAATCACCCTTCATGACAGAGCTGCCACAGTCATACTCGACCAACATTTCCCCACCACTCACAACTCCCGCGAGCTTTCTCCGACTCAGTTGACAACCACCACAACCAGGTTGCGCAACGAACGCAAATATTCCAATCGCCCTAACTCTTAGTTTAGTAATTAACAAATTAATTTGAACAAGTCAAAATTAAAGCCTGCCTACGTCTTCATTAATTCAGTGGTCGGTGATCTCGAAGGAGCTCATTTATCACCAGCCTCGTCTGGGTCCAAACAAATTCCACTAATTTTTACATTTTCTCAATATGGCTGACGGTCCGGATAAAACAGACGAGCTATACCCTATAGCTGTACTAATTGACGAGTTAAAGGTAGGTGAATCACGATCAGGGTGGGCACCTCTTGGCGCATTTGCTCATCAAGTTCATAGCATGATGATGTCCTCTTACGATTAAATGCCATACACCGTCTATCAACCATAGCGCTAGCTCTAGGAGCTGAGCGTACTAGAGAGGAACTTATTCCATTTCTTGACGGTACGTTTATTCTTCAAATACAATTACTTCGGCAAAAAGCTAAGAGCCTCATAGAATCTGTTGAGGATGAAGATGAAGTACTCACAGCTCTAAGTGAAGAGCTTGGTAGCTTCGTTGAATACGTTGGCGGGCCAGAATGGGGACACGTTCTCCTCTCACCGCTAGAGAATTTAGCAGCGATAGAAGAACCTTTAGTGCGGGAGAAAGTGGGTAGACTACTCATACTCGCAAAACTTCTTCTAACAATATTTAGGCCGTTGAATCCTTAAATAAGATATGTGAGGAGCTGTCTTCTCAGCAAGTCGAAGACTATTTCATACCTCTCACAATCCGACTTTCAAAAGCGGATTGGTTTACGTCAAAAATATCAGCAACCGGCCTCTTCAACGTTCCATACAAAAAGTCAACGCCTCCCATGCAAGCACACCTTCGTAAACAGTTTGGACAACTTGTTTACGATGAAACCCCCATGGTTAGGAGACAAGCCGCAACTAATTTAGCTAAATTTGTACAAGAAATGCCTGCCACAATTGTAGTCGAAGAGATGGTACCTTTATTCCAGCACCTGACGTCGGACGATCAGGATAGTGTTAGGCTACTGACTGTAGAGGTTTTAATTGCTATAGCGGAAGTGGTGCCAAAAGAGCAACAGTCAAGCCATGGGGTCTTACTTTCAGCCTTGAGAACATTAATTGATGACAAGAGCTGGAGAGTTCGCTACATGGTTGCAGATCGCTTTGAAAAGGTTTGTAAAGCAGATTATAGCGACAAATCAAAAGCTTACAGACTTATTAGATCGCCAAAGCTGTGGATGATGAGGTTGTCTCCAGAGATCTTGTTCCAGCATTCGTCAAATTGCTCAAGGATAACGAAGCAGAAGTTCGGACAGCTATCACTGGACAAATTCCAGGTACAACTTTCGAATGGCCCCTATGTCAAGACTAATATGTTTCTAGGCTTTTGTAAATTACTCAGTAGAACAATACTCCTCCACAAAATTATCTCCACTATCGAAGATTTGGTATCTGATACATCTCAACACGTTCGTGCTGTCCTAGGAATTAAAATTAGCGCCTTGGCGCCTATCCTGGGTAGACAAGAGTGAGACTGTAAGAATCTACGAAAGATTCAGTGCTAATTTAAGGTAGAACTATTGATCACTTGGTACCAATGTTTCTACAAATGCTGAAAGATGAGTATCCTGATGTTCGCCTACATATTATCTCAAAGCTCGATGTAATCAATGAGGGTATGGATAGAATCCTGTCACACAAGCATGTCAAAGATCTGATCTGTTGTAGTCATCGGGATTGAGCTTCTAGCCCAATCTCTTCTGCCTGCGATTGTCCAATTAGCAGAAGATAAACAATGGAGAGTTCGATTAGCAATCATCGAGTACATACCTCTTTTAGCAAAACAGCTCGGGGTGGGATTTTTCGACGCGGAATTAGCCTCACTCTGCATGGCATGGCTTGGGGACACTGTTTTTTCGATTCGAGAAGCAGCTACCCACAACCTTAAGAAATTGACTGAGATTTTCGGAGACAGTTGGGCAAATCAAGCTATTATCCCCAAGGTCATGGCCATGGGTGCCCACACAAATTACCTGTATAGAATGACAACATGTTTTGCTATCACGGTAGGTAACTATAATCTCATTACGAAGGTTTTACTAAACAAAACTTAGACACTTGCAACAGTAGTTAGTCTAGACGTGATCTCAAGATCCATTCTTCCAATGATGGATAAGCTTGTCGAAGATGAAATTCCTAACATTCGTTTCAATGTCGCCAAATCATATGCTGAATTGATCTCGGTTTTGAAAAAACTGCCTGACGAAGGTACAATTTACTCTCTCGAAAAGACGGGAGCTGTAGGTATTCCGTCAGCAAAAGCAGATGCACTCATTCAGGAGAAGATTTTGCCAAATCTAGAGAAGCTTCAAAATGATGAAGACGTTGATGTTCGTTTCTTCGCTACTACAGCAGCTTCTTCGATTATAGGAGAACCCATGGTTACATCACCATAGATGAGAAAATAAAGAAACTTTCCAATAGCTTATGCCTGACTGAAAATATGGGGGCTAGCCCATAGCTTTGATACTGCCGTTTTGGTGAAAGAGATCAGTGGGAAATTTCACAATGAGTTCCATTCACACTGACAACCACACGTATTATACGGGAAAAGCAACAAGCATTGCCCTGCTGTTTTGATATCGCCAAGGAGTGGATAACTTGCGCCGAATGACGGCCAGATACGGAAAGAATAACAGTACTTTGTAGAGGAGAAATTATAGAAGATAACACAATTCAGTCTAAGAAATTTAATCATAGCCAATAATTTTAAGCATTCCATAGATACCCTCCAAGCCCCACCTAAAATTCACACTCTGTTCGGCTTATGTATGTAGATTGCGTCATCACAACGCACAGGTAATATTCTGAAGATTTTAGCTCCATTTACCATGGGAGGCTCCAACCATCAGTTTCTCGATTATTCAAAATTCTGTAATGAACCCTCCTGCTCAAGTAACATTAACGGATCTCGAGCCTTCTCCGCTCGGGACAAAGCATTAGTAAGTCACAGATCCTGGTCACCAGCTTCATTAATATTTAATCTGACGTTTTATGTATAATTCAAAGCTGGGATGATTTATATTCAAAAGAAATCAAGAATTTTGAGCAAAATTGTGGAGACGAGGGTACAATTTGGTTTGATGATTCTGCAGCGGAAGAGAAAGTTCTCGAATTCATCGAGGATTTTGTTATAGACTCCCATGCCCTAGGAACGAACATAAATCGCGACAACTGCAGTTTTCTTGATCTAGGTACTGGAAACGGCCATTTATTGTTTAGTTTGAGGGCAGGTGATGATAGATTTGAAGGCTGGTGCGGACGAATGCTTGGAGTAGACTACTCGGAAAAGAGTATCGAGTTTGCAAAACGTATAGCACAAGGTAGGAATTTGAGGGATGTAGAATTTTGCCGATGGGATGTCATGCAGGATAAAGCAGATGGAGTCGTGCTGGACGAAATTAGTGCTGAGGGCTGGGACGTGGTACTTGACAAGGGAACATTTGATGCTATCAGCCTCTCAGCCGACCAATGTTCACCGGGCCAGCGAAACTATAAATACTATCGGACGCAAGTGCTACCTCTGATTCGCAAAGGGGGAGTTCTCCTCATTACTAGTTGTAATTGGACCGAAGATGAGCTGAAGTTGCTTCTCGATGGACCTGGACTCGCAATGGTTTCAACAATTAAGTACGACAATTTCAGCTTTGGAGGAAAAAAAGGTCAGACTGTTAGTAGTGTTTGTTTCCGCAAAACTAGCAGTCCTTGAAGTTTCTCTGTAGCTCTCCTTTACGATTTGAGGGATTTGAAGTCTCTAAATACAATTGCAGCGTCGCTGTCGTGTAAGGGTAAAACATTTAAGGAAATATCATTCAATATTACAGCAAGTAACTGACGTATGGTAATCTTTTAACAGTCACTTGACAATCATCAATAAGACACGTCAAAATAATAGTTGTACAGAAAGACCTTGTGAAGTAGACCCCACACGCTGATTGCGTCAATCAGAGTACACCAGATGCTCTGATGTCAGGTCCTGGCCACAATAATTTTTTTTGCATCAGATTTTAATTGCGTATGCAGCTATCTAGCTATGACACAATATCAAAGAAAAGTACAGAAATATCGCCATTATAATTTCAGTTTCGTGATGGGATCTTTACTCCGACCCTCTTACCTTGTTCTATGTACATAACGCACGCTTTTGCTTCTCGAGGTTGCTAGGGTCACGACCATCTGCCCCTAGTGTTCTCTGGCGGTGGTTTGAGTAGCCTGGGTGCCTACTCTACTTGGGAAGGAGACACCTCAGACCAAACTTCGTGCGGAGAAAAGTAAATGGATGATAGAGGCATGTCTGGATAACTCAGGGTTTTTGAGACGTTCCCCAGGATATATATTCACGCATTAGGGTTGACTTGGAGTGAAGACGCCTCCACAACTTCGCAGTGGTACTTGCAAATGAAATATGAGGCATGAGTGCTCTTCCCTTACGTTGAATCATCTATTCCGTAATTTTCTTTGATATTGTGTCATAGCTAGATAGCTGCATATACAATTAAAATCTGATGCAAAAAAAAAGACTGTGCCCTATGCGTCGTATATATCACAAGCACCCATTACTAAACAAAACTAAATTGCTTCACTTAACTCTGTGTGAATGGAAGTGAGATTCCGAGATCATTAAACGTACTTCACTCTTAAGCGGCGTTAACACTCGAAAATTCACACTAAATCAGCTAACATTTTTGAACATTTTGTGACTGTAAGAATGGCTTCGAAATATTATCTTACCGAGTGTAATTAAGGGCCAAAATCTCACAAGATATCAGAGAAGCGGCAAAATAGCTTGACATCATAGTTTAGTCGCACTTGAATAGGCAGCATCTATGCATCTGGGCAGCTTGTTGTTCTCGGGCAAATTATTCGACGAGGAGTTCAATTCATTAGGACCTGTCAGCGATCTAAACCCAAAATCTCAAGTTTTAACCATAGAGTCAGTAGAGCTGAAGCTGGGTCCAAAACAAGCCAGGCCAGCCTCAATTTTCAGTAAGCCTACAGCATTCTCCGCCACTAAAGATGGCAGAAAAGATTCGGATAGGCTAACTGACTATAAACTCTCTCGGTCAAGGCTATTCTAACGTTCACTTCAACTTCTAACTTGTCCCATGTCACGAATGAGGAAGAGATTAAAATGAGACAATGAATACAGAGAACGATTCTCTCAGATATACTCCTGTTTGCAAATACCGGCTGGAGAGTTTCTCAAAGCACTGCAGAAGGGTAATGTAACGAAAAGGTCGCATTGGATATCCTGTGTATGTAGTAAGATGGCTATTTATCAGCAGATCTAATAATATGCCTTTTAGAACAGTCGACGCAATGGTAAAGCTTCCTCACTATTTGCAACAGCGCATGATCATTACCATGTGGTCATGCGCTGTCACAAATAATGATAGCTTCGAATTCATTCCAAACGTCTGTGTTGGAGAAATTCTACTCCTAGGACTTCTTGTGAGCTTATCGGCTGCCACAAACCCACAGATGACCTTCGTTTCGTCAATTGGATAGGAAAGCAAATCAATAGCAGAGGCCTCTGATCATATCAAGACTTGTGAGTGGTGGTACTAGTGAAATTAAGCTAAAAAATCGGCATAGAAAAGTTGTATTACCAGAAACACATGTATCCTTGGACGGCAGGCAGGAAGGAAATACATATGATGCAACAGCAGAATAAGACAGAATTGGGTTGGTACCATGTTCTCCTACTTTCTGCACGTCATAACATCGCTCAGCCGTTCTACGATGAAGATATCAACCCCTGGATAAGATGAGGATATGCTGGGTTGGGTTGGATAATGACTGGCATTGAATGGAAAGGCAAACCTTGAGGTTGGGATAGTGTTAAGGACTCGAGCGCGTGTTGGCAGAGGCTAAGGGGAAAATTGTATCAGGAATGTAAGGGACTGTCCTGTGCAGTTGTAAAAAATGACATAGATCTAGATGATGAGAGAAAAACAGTATATCCCTTTACTTGCTAGAAATCTAAGATACATATATTCCCGTCCAAGATTCCTTCAAGACTCTCCCGCCGTTTCAGCTAGCAGCCTATTCATGTTGAGACTGTAGCATATTAGGCTAGTCAGTACATTGGGCTAGTCATTGTATTAGGCTAATTAGTGTAACATCTAATCTCTGGACGAAACATATACAAATGTATCAAGCAAGTTGATGCAGTTTATATGTCGAGACATGTTTAGCATAACAGCGACGTCCTCGTATACACAACTGTCTCGGGATACCTGACAAATTGTGCCTCGACGTATTAAAATCAGGTTCTCTGAACGGTTGGACTTGACAAATTCGACACATGGGTGAAATATGAGATGGTTCGGTCATTGAGGAGGAACGAGGTTTATGTATTTATATGGTAATTGATCTGATCCAGCCCAGCTCTACTCGTGCCCAAGCTCCCAAAGGAGTGCGGAGGATGCCAATTGCCTAGCACGTTTAAAAACAAAACAAAACCACTCAGCCTTCAATTTATTGCCAGAGTGACGTGTGGGTAGATAGATGTGAGGTTTCTTAGCGCGCGTCGTGAACCTAGTAAATGGAGGGTAAGACTGAACACCTGTACGCGGTGTCATCTACGAACCTGGGAGTGAAATATTCTCCCAGAGCCAAGTCCAGTCAAATTTTGCAATACTTAATAGGTAGCCCACGAGGCAATGATTCGAATTACTCCACCACGTCGTTTTTTCGCTCCCATCGAGTTTGACTCCTACCTAAGTCTTATCAAGTCTACAAGTACAACCTCATTTCAATGATAACACCTTTCATCGACTATTCTCTGGCCTCAGCCGGTCGCCAAATACACGTCCACACCGATATCTACAGCCGACGGGAGAAGCAAAGCGTTGCGCACAAATCTGGGAGACAACTGTTTGGGATGGACGTGGGAGGGATCAGGAAAAGTTGACAAGATGATGCAGAGGATGGATAAAGTAGTGAATTGTTCGAAGTTTTCTAATTTGGGCAAGTACTTTGACAGATTGAAGAGCTTTATGTGTGCCAAGGGTTCGGCTGCGAGAGTGCAGGCGACACTGTAAAAACCGGCATGATTGGACGGTGCGGTGGTACATCGTCTTGGCCGGTCTACCAAGTAGAGTCTGGATAGCTTGGACACAAATCCCACTCGAGACAGTAGATCGCTGGTTCAAATCCAGCAAAACACAACCACATTTCTCGCGGCACTAGTATGCCTGAATGACTAAGGCATGCTTGGATAACCAAAGGTTTCGAAATTCCCTTTGGTGGGTACTAACGGAGGAGGGTCGACTGTTTGTGTAAGGAAGCATACCTCATAGTGGTATTTGCGAATGAAATCCAGAGTATGAGTGTCTCTAACATCAGAAGAGTCATCCAACATGTACACATAGCACCGGTCATGTGTCATAGCTTTGTAGCTGAATACACATTGAATGATTTTAAAAATAAAAGAACCTAGTGAATGGTGGGTGTGTGTGTAAGAATGAAAGGTTATCACTTGGTGTGCCGTAGCTTTTAACTACTACGGATCTTGTGTAGAGCTGAAGACTAATACGTGGGTTCTATATCCTCCTAAATGTAGGAGATCTATGCGGCTATATACATCGACTCTCTGTTAACCCTCAGCTCCAGTGAGATCTACTCTTGTGACTGTCGGCAGTCTCGGGTAATATAATTCAGCAGGATCTACCGTTGTTCAATGCTTCTTCTATTTCGTAGTGGATTACACAGGCTCCGGTCCATGGAGCTCGAGTTAAGTAGATTGGTCATCATGGGGATCACATGACGAGCTCGCTATGAACACGCTAGCTAGGCCCCACTTTAGTTATGAGTTTGGACTCTGTCTCTGACGAGACACAAAGACAGACAGGATATGTACGACTAACTCTTTCCCACCCGTTCCGATCGATCGTGGAAACCACCCCTTAGTCTATCCAACAAAAGGGATAAACCAATATGTTTCAAACAGGATATTTAAGTGCAAGTGCAAAGACAATGTGATGTCATCCTTTCCCAAATGATCAATCAGGCAGTTATCAACTGCAATAGACTTACAGTTAATTAACAAACATAACTGTACTTGAGACATTTACATAGTAATATACCGTCAGTGACTGTGCGATTTGATCGTTTGAGATCATAAGGCATTAGCTGTTTGTCTATGTGCCGTACATCCAAAATCTGATCAGCCCGTGACTATGTAGATCTTTTCAAAGTCCACAAATAGGTGAATATATATTTGTGTCTCTACTAAGACCAAGACTATTCACGACTACTTTGGGATCTATCTAATCAGTTTCTTAGGGGGACTATGCTCAACACCTGTCAGCGGTGTCACCTACGAACCTCCAGCTCTCACTATAGAGTCTGCAGAGCCGAGATTGAATAACAATGTCCTCGCTTCGACGAGGATTCCCAATCGCTTTCGCGGTCTGTATCGTCTTCATCTCTCAAAACATTCCCCCATCACCATTATCATGAAGCTAACCACGATCAGATCAGATGGTAGGGTCGGAGCCCTTCTCATCACAAACCCTTGATCATGGAGGAGAAGCCATCCGATGGATTTCCGGAGCGTACCCAGCACCCGATACGGAGATGGTGGATTGGATCAAGTCGACCTCGACTGTTACAAAGAAGGGAGATATAGATGAATATGCGCACCTCATGTGGTCCCAGTGTCTAAGCCTCGCCTGGCTGGGGCTGCAGGTTTCTTGAGACTTTTTCCCGCCCACGCAGTTCCCATTGCTACCATTTTTTTGGGTAGAAGGTTCCGTAAAAAAGGTGGCCGAATTTCACGGGTAAATACCGAGCTGAATGGCTATTCATCACGGACAATATTTCAATGATCCTACAAGTAACAAAGGAGGATAGGAGCACTGTAGAAGATGTGGCCTGGGTCACAGAGGAGCCCAATGTACTAGATAGTCATAGACTAAAGTAGTACAATAAACATTACTCACTAATCAGTTTCTTAATACACAGGTTAATTTCTAATATTAATATAACAATTTTATGCTAGTTGATCCTGAGGGTTATCGTGTAGTTAGAGAATTCATTTGAGATCATTAGCCGATCTATTAACCAGCCAACCAAATGGTATACGATATATGCATACAATGGAGAAAATAATGACCCTTCAGTCATGCGATTCTAGAGCGCATTCGTTCAAGAAACTACCGGAATGAAACTTATTACAATTCCCGAGAAGACCTCCCGAGGAGCTTCAACTCCATCGCCGCTCACCTGACTTTTTAGTTCAATGCTGGGCTGGACACGAAAAAGGCTAGTCCTTCCCCGACGACTAAATATGAAGATAACTCAGTTTGATATTAGGACTACTGTGGCTTCACTTAGGTGATGGTAAAAATATATATGAATAACTTGATTCTCTATTCTATCCAACGAAAGCTAGTAATACATATTTGAGTCTAAGTAATCAAATCCATACTGTTTACCTAAGCAGATACGCCGTTGTTCCGAACACTATCAATTATATGAATATCCGGAACAATAGATTGATTAATTATAGCGATAACTACTCATGTAGTGGGTGCTTTTGCTGATACCACTTGAGACCTTTTTCCTAGTAACTTTCACCCTTCCCTCAACCTGTAGCATCCACCATAGGGAAAACAGGAAAAGCCTCTGGCTACCCTGATATGCCTTTGCCATCTTGCATGTGGTCACCGCGCGAGAAATAGCCTCACAGTCCTCCCTTTCTCGAGTGAGGTAGTTGTCCAGGCTAGCCAGACTTTAGCTTGGGGATATGACAGTCAGGAGGTGGATCAAAACATCTTCAGTCGTTGTTACAGGCTTAAGGATAACAGGATAGGTTCCCCGGACAAGGTCTGGAGACCAATTAAGTAATGTCGATCTTAGATAACACTAACATTACCCCTGTAAAATATCTTCACTCTATAAACCTTTAACTACACCGTAGAGACATCTTTTGGATATCATTGTTTTAGATAATCAGAATAGACTTCGTTAACTTCGGTCGATTGTTCAGATCACGACTCATTTTGTGACAGTCGTTGCCTATTTTTAAAGTGTCGGTAGCACTATACGAAATCGTAGCCTCGGCGCTCACAAGTCCTCCAAGGTCGAAAACACCCGAAAAATATGTGTGCCATGATGCCCATTTGTGACCTCTTCAATCGCTCGTCCCACATAACAGCAACCTGTCCTCACTCAATATGTGAAGCCCCCATAGACCAAGACCCGAGATTTTTATATCATGACTTAATTTCCTCCTGGCGGATATACATAGAAATGTAAGTTTATAGCGAAAGATGGCCAGTTTTTGATGAGGCAAATTACTGATTATAATTGGAGCAACACCTTTATCGGTAGTTGAGGTGAGGTGTTGTAGTAAGATTGAGATAGAGGACTCGCGTGAGAATGTTAAGACAGCAACCCATGAAAATTTGTCGACGGTAAATACGCATGAAGTTGCTTTCAGCTTTGATTTAGATTCGATCCTCCTTGGATGTCCCAGATATACAGCGCATACTGAACGATTACACCAGCATCATTGGAAGGTGGAGGATTTGTCTTTGCCGGCTGGAAGAGTATTGAATTTAATGTTGAATTCATTCAGCTTGATTTGGCGTCTTACAGGCCCATGCAGGAATTTACGAACTCTGGTATTTACATAGGAGGAAACAGTTGCGGTAGAAGCCCCCTCAACCTCTCAATTTATCTACACTTTGATGCTGTGTTACGCTTAGGAAGAGAATTGATGCTCGTTTTTTGCTTTTATATCCGAGAGTTTGTTTCCTAGAATTCTCACATGGCCATGAACCCGACTGATCTCGAACTCTCCCTCTTGGATATGCGTTTGTCTCTAGCGAGGTTTCCATGATTTAGCCGTGTCTGCCACTTCTGCAAAGGCCGGTTGTGAAGAGAAGCCAGGTGTGTTGGATGGGATTTTCTGGCCACATTTTGATCATCTAGAAAAACCCAGAGGTTGTCGGCGTAGCGAGCGAAGGAGAGATTAACGGCAGCCTTTATCCCTTAGAATGTGGCCTCTAATTGCGCATAGTGGATTTCTTAGTACTTTCGAGGTGATTGAGTACCAATTTATTCAATTTCATTTGCAGTGATTTCAGTCGGTTAAGCACCCGATGTCCCACATCATATTGTGCGTTCAAATTTTGAGAAGCTGCCCCATTATAGTATAGCAACTTAAATGATACAAGAATTTCCTACTTATCGCAAGCCATCATGCTCTGCGATGCTTTCACAGGATACTAGAAAATTACAGACCACTCATGACTTTGATCACATGCTTGACTACTCGGTTCCATCATAGACTTCCCGATTGTCTGGAGCACTCTACAACATTCAGATACTACAATGAGTCCGGCCGGGGAGGGCAAGACTGAACACCTGTCAGTGGTGCTCTCTACGAACCTGGGAGTGAAATATTCTCCCAGAGCCAAGTTCAGTCAAATTTCGCAATACCGAACAAGTTGGCCCACGAGGCAATGATTCAAATAACTCCACCACGTCAAATTTTCATTCCAAAAAAGATCGAATCCTACCTAAGCCTCATCAAGTTTACAAGTACGATCTAGTACATCCTCATTCCAATGACCACACCTCTCGCCGACCTTCTCTGGCCTCAGCCGGTCACCAAATACACGCCCACGCCGATATTTACACCCGACGGAGGAAGCAAAGCGTGGCGCACAAATCTGGGAGACTGTTCATTGGGATGGACGTGAGAGGATTCAGGACAAGTTCACAAGATGATGCGAAGGATGGATACAGTCTCGACGGGCATGGAATTTTGAATATTGGAAAGGAGTTTTTACAAATTGAGCTTTGTGCGTGCCAAGACTTCGGTTGCGAGAGTGCAGGCGACACTATAAACACCGCCATGGTTGGATGGTGTAGTGGTATATCGTCTTGGCCGGTCTGCCAAGTAGAGTCTGGATAGCTTGGACACAAATCCCACTCGAGACAGTAGATCGCTGGTTCAAATCCAGCAAATCACAACCACATTTCTCGCGGCGCTGGTATGCATGAATGACTAAGGCATGCTTGGATAACCAAAGGTTTCGAAATTCCCTTTGGTGGGTACTAACGGAGGAGGGTCGACTGTTTGTGTAAGCAAGCATACCTCATAGTGGTATTTGCGAATGAAATCCAGAGTATGAGTGTCTCTAACATCAGAAGAGTCATCCAACATGTACACATAGCACCGGTCATGTGTCATAGCTTTGTAGCTGAATACACATTAAATGATTAAAAAAAAAAAAAAAAGAGTCCGGCCGGGTTTCAACCACTCTAATTCCCAATTTGAAATATAGCATATTTCCCTATACAAGGAATTTCAAATATATTTATCAATTTGCTTGGAAGTTCTCCAACGGGAAGCGTGATTTACAAGAGATTTTCGATGAAATGTCACACTAAATAAGAAATAGAAGAAAGCATTTTCTTTCCCAACAGTTGTTCCACGCACTGATTGTCCCTAAACGGAAAGATTCTGTCGGTTCACTCAAATTAGTTGCAAAAACCTTTGCCAGCCAGATCCATTTTCTAAAGGCGAGAGCACCTTTTTCTTCAGACCCTGATATACCGATTTTTGCTATAGGAAGCAGAGCATTGGAATTTTCTACTTTCTTCGTGCTACGTCGGAAATTTTGACTCTCGAATTAGGACTTGTTATCTATTTGGTCTGAGGTTCACGACAAGATCGACTCTCTCTACGCATATCTTGAGTGCGCTAATCACACCTACTGTTACATATACGTTTTGGTATTTACGTACTGTAGAGTATTTAAGCTCATCATAGTAGATGGGAGGTGGCTAGTAATTATTAAGTTTGACAGGCACACAGGACTTGTGGGGATTTATCCCTTTGATGTATATACAAGTCTAATGTTCCCATAGTAATAAAATATCAAGTCTTCTTTACCATATCATATATATCATATATATCATATATATCCATATGATATAGTATAGAGTATCTTTACCAACAATCTGGATTTAGGCTCCTCATAGTGCTTCGCCAAGGTTACCCAGAGGAGCGAATGTAGATGACGAGTTCACTGACAGTATAGAGACTTAAATAGTAGCTCGCGTGAATTGTGAGGATGTCCTCTCAGTAAGGGAATCACTTTGGAGCGGAGGAGGATATATGCCATGCCAGGCTTTTTGTCTTTACCAGCATATCAGACGCAATTTCCATTCATTTAGCCGGACAAAGACCCAATTAGCCGAAAGGATCTGGCTAGATAGCTAGGAATGGAGGCCTCGTGAGGACCAGCATGTTGAGCAGATTGGTTTGCAAAAGCTTGTGGCTGTTAGACACAGATGATATCACTTGGTGAAGCGAGTGGGAAAGTAAAGGAGTCTGTAAATCTGTCGTGGAGAGTTGTTAATTACTCCTACTAGGACACAGAGTGCTATATAAACTATATTTTGTAATAATAAAATCAAGTGGTTGGTATTTACGTCAAAGCGCATTAATACTAACCTCACAATTAATGGGAGATTAGTAATATGTATTCTACACATCCCTGTCTTTATCATAATTGGAAGCATCAATTTCAACACCCCTTCTCACTTTGTACCAAAAATTTTTCTGCACAAGTGGTTAAGTCTCGGTCTTGGTAGGCCTTTTGTACAAATATCTGCATGATTTCCACTTGAAGGAATGTGTAGTAAAATTAGCGAACCGTCATCAATTCTTTCTCTGGTGAAATGGTAAGCGATTTCAATGTGCTTTGTAGCGTCATTGATTTTATGATTGTGAGCGAGATCAATAGCGGAGTTATTGTCTGTTGAAAGGGACGAGGGTATATTTTTGTTCACTAGTTGATGAAGCCCACGTGTCATCCAAAGGAATTGTCTAGCTGCAAGTGATAGTGCTATATACTCAGCTTCACAAGTGGAGTGAGCGATGGTACGTTATTTGCGAGACTTCCAGGCGACTGTGGATCCTCTTAGTTGGAACAAATAACCCGAGAAGCTTCTTCGAGTATCTAGACAATTTCCGTATGATGTATCACAGTATCCATTGAGTATCAAGGGAGATTTGAACTCATATGTTAGTTTTAAATCTCTTGTTCCTTTGATGTATTGCAAGACTCGCTTGACAACACTTAGATGAATAATTGATGGATCCGAACTGAATTGCGAGAGATGTGAGATTGCATATGCAAGGTCAGGCCTCGTTGCAGACACGACATACATTATAGATCCGATTATTTGCTGCACAGCGTTGCGTTAGCCCTAGTTTCTCCATTTGTCGCTACCATCAGTCGTTAGTTACACTTGATAGGCGTGGAGACCGAATTGTAGTCTTGCATAGAAAATCGATTCAGGACTCTATCTATGTATGCGGTTTGCGAAAAGCTGATTCCAGCATCACAGTACTCAATTTGAATTCCAAGTAGCCAGTGAAGTGTTCCCATATCTTTGACCTTGAATTCGGCTTTAAGCGGGTTAACAGTTTCACTCAATAGCGAATCTTGTTCTCCAAATAGTACAATATCATCCACATATACCGCTGAGTATAATTCTCCTGTATTGTGGATAAAGACACAGGGATCAAAGGGTGATAAAGAAAACCCGAGGGGAATGATAAATTCAGCCAACCTGAAAAAACATTGCCGTGGTGATTGCTTCAATCCGTATATACACCTATTAAGTTT